ATGTGAAATGAAAAGGCTCGGTCTCCAAAAAATACTGTGAAGGGCAAAGAACATAACAAGTAGAAGGATCTTGTTGTGAAGATGTAACTGAGTAATTGGAAGCCATTTCTTCACTAAAYGCCCTTTTTAATTAACATAATGTGTTTGTTAATGAGAACAGAAATTAACTATTGGTAAAGGAAAACATCTTAGAGAATCTTAAGGTCTCCTGTAAAAAGGGTTTTTGCAGTGCCTTGGTGAGCACCTACTTTTTTTTGTCTGAAAAATGTCCTTGTGCTAAGGAATCTGCTTGTTTTTAGGGGTTTTTTTTTGTTTTTTTTTTTAATATAAAAAAACTGTGATGGCTTCACATGCTTGTAAACTTACTCTGTTAAATGTGAATTGAATGTAATAGAATATGGTAAAACCTATTAAGGTATGCAGATATTTTAAAATCTCCCCTCTAACAGAGGTTGAGACCCCTCTGTTGTATTAGGTGTTGATGCTTAAACCTGGTGATTCCATCAAGTTTAGGAAATTTTAATATCTGGTGAAAATCTGCAAAAATAGCACGAGTCTTATGGAAGTGTATAAAACAATTGTCGCATTTAAACAGTTTTGATTGGGGAGAATTTGGAGAARTACTGTTTTTCAGTATGATCCTTTTAAATTAAGGTGAAAAGAAGCTGAAGTTGATCTGGTAAGCTTTAGAGATGCACCAATTCAAGTTTAAACCAGAGATATCCTTTTAGAAGGGCATTTTTGTTTATTCACCATTCCAAGAACTCATATAAAATTAGGTTTTATAAATGCAAATGTCATATGATTCTAAATTTGGAGCATTAAGCTTTTGATGGATTGGAGTATATGAATTTTTATAAGAAGTTCTTAATGAAGAAAGAACTAGAAATTAAAGTGGGCCTCTAAATTAATTCTCTTAATTTTCTAAGCTTAATGGAGTGCAAAAAAACTAAATGATGAGAGTAAGGAAAGATCCTCTCTAAATGCCTGTTTTATATCATACCTCTTCTATCATGGGATCTGCGTGTGTGCGTGAGTAATAGTTGAAATTCTTGATAGTGGAATAAAATTTTAGTGAAAGGGCCGCCTTCCAATAAATCCAGAAGTTCTTAAATATCATGTTTCAGCAGGTCACCAGCATTACAGATTTCTGGGTGAGGCATCTTTCATTTCTCATTTATGAGAAACACCCCAGAACCTGTAAATGTCTGTTGGCTTTTAAAGTTGAGAAGCATATTGTTTGGGAAGGCCTGAAGTCTTTTTTCCTACTGATTTGCCAGGAAAACTGGAAGCACTTAAATATTCCTGCTTCTTTTGTGACCCTGTCATTAAAAATGTGTGCGCTTCAATGAGGAAGACAATACAGAACATGGAATCTACTGTATATTTTGCTTTCCTTCTAAATTGGTCGTAACCAGAAACTACAAAGAAATGAAGAAATGTGCTTATGAGCAAAAGGAAGACATTCCCTCATTTGCCATTTCTATTTTAATTTACTATTTTGTGCAAATGCACTGCCTGCACCCTGAAGTCAGTCATACAACACTGATGACGTGGGTGAAGTGGAAAAGCAGGTTAGATTTAAGTGCATTGCTTCTCAAATAAACCATGGATCAGGAGACTTTTAGTTAGGCCCAGGAAAGAAGGATAAATAGTCATCGAGCACATTTATTATGCATTTGTCTTTGCTTTAGATTTAATTTGGCAATCACTTTGATTGTTAGAACTTCACTAGGGAAAAAAAAAAAAAACCTGCTTCTTTATGCCTCTTAATATTTATTTTCTCTTTATTATTGCGTTTATGGAAAGTTTGCTTGGGAGGAGTTTCTTAGAGAGTGACGTGGTTTGATGGTGACAGACATCAAGTATTTGGATGTCGTGACAAAGAAAAAGGCTAGAAGGATAAATACTTGTTTGGATTAGAGTTTTGGGGTTTTTTTCTAGACTAAAGTGAAAGAGCTAGATGAGTTTGTGAAGCCTCTAATGGAAACGTCATATGTACTTGGCTCCACTGAAGTAACTTTATTGATTTGTGCAGTGAAATCGTCCTTGCAGAACAAGATCTAAGTGATGAGGTTTAAGATTTATAGTGACTTGGTCGGCCAGCTTAGAAGGCTGAAATTACAGCCAAACCTCTCATTCTTTATGTTAATATTTTTTAGACAAAAGGTCAAAACAACCCGTTTGGAGCTTGCAGTGAATCTAAAGCCAACTGAAACACTGCAGACGCTTTGCTTTGGTGATATCTCGTCTGTCTCCGTGGCTCATGGAAAGTCACACGCTCTCAGACTCCACTGTGAATTGCCAGATTTAGTAGGTGCTTTTTTTTTTTTTTCCCTGTAAAAAATTTAGTGACTTATTTCCTAGAAGATACTTTTTTTTTTTTTTTTCCCTGTAAAAAATTTAGTGACTTATTTCCTAGAAGATACACTTCTTATTCAGAGGGTATATTTTGCTCTTTTTCTTCCCCTAGAACAGGGCTTCTATGCTGTCTTCTCTTTCAAGAAAAAAAAGGGCAGTGAAATTCAAGGCTATAGTTTTGCATCTTCTAGGCCACTCCAACCATTGGTCAGACACAGCGTGGAAGATACTCACTTTTCACTAAATATGGAATGAATTACCATCATACCATGTATAATTGATTGCACAGTCACTTTCAGGATATGTGATCATTCTCAGGATTTCTTTGAAGTTCTAATTTCTGATTTTTTTTATGTATTTGAGGAAAGTATRCATTAAGAACTTTTTCACATAACCACTTTGAAGGGCTAGGTGAAAATATGTCAGTTGTTTGGGGGTTTGGTTGTTGCTGTTGTTGTGATACATATATTTTTGCTAGCTTGGTAGAGGCATGTACACACTTGGGAGGAAAGCCGGCTTTTAGACTAATGTTGGCAAAGATCTTTGATGAAGCTGAAAGAGCAGTAGTTTTTTAATTCCAAAGKCTTGTACCATAATCATCAATTCAGTTGTGTAATTGACTGCTTAGTAAACAAACACCTTCACTATCCAAGCATAGGATTTTTATTCCATAAATGCAATAGAGGATATACCATCGTTAAAAACTAAAAACTCTTCTTGTTTGGAGTGTAGGAGGATGGAGTWTTTTATGCTAACCTTGACCTTTACATATGCCTTGGGGGATCAAGGTGTTCATGGAGCTCCGTGGGAATGTTTGAGACTGATTGGGAACTGGAGTATATCCTGCCTTTCTTGCTGACCACAAAAACACATCTTAAGATAGAGAAAGGAAACTTCCTCAGACTTGAAAAATACAAATAGGGTTGTCTGTGCTACAAATTGCAAATGAGAGTATGAAGAGTAACTCCTCCCCTCAATTTACATCCTCCTGCGTGCAGCAGTGAAGGAGGGGAGGGGAGCAGAGCTCTGTCCCTGGTGCCTGAGCAGGTTTGGTGTGATTTAGGGCTTTTCTGAATTATTTTTTTTTCTATTAGTTCTTAATGTTTTTAATGTGATCTGCAGCAATGTCCAAACAGCAAGRAATGACAAATAACCCTTGGGGCACTTTTCACCACTCCTTGATTTGGTGAAAAGTTGTGTGTGCTTGTGCAATACTTAATTATGCCACTACAGATGATCATGCAGAACTGAAATTTGCACTGACTTGTATTTGCTCWGGTTTTGTAATGGTACAAGATAAATGACACTTTATATATACTGATGTTACACTGAAGCCTACKTAATGCCTTATGATGTTACATGACAACTGAAAAACTGTACTACAGAGCAGCATTGAGCCCACTGAAGAGCACGATGAACAACTTTTTATAATTTTTTCAATATAAACTTATGCTTTGATTTACAATGCTAATTTGTGCAGATTTTGACAAGCACTGAGTATTATCCTATACATATGAATATTGGTTGTATAACTTGAATTTTTTTAAAGCAGGTTAAGGTTTCARAAGTTGAGGTTTTCTCCTTTCCATATAAATGTTCTATTAAAAACACTTGTGGTTTAAAATTTACATAATGCTTTTTTTGTCTTTTAATAGGTGAATGTCTATGTGCTGGGAAAAACTTTCCTTCTGTTGGCCAGAGAACTCTGCATAAATGCTCCAGCCATAGGTATTTTTTTTTTAATGATTTGACTTTTGACTATTTGAGTCTATTTTTTCCATGGTTACTTGACAAATATATATATATGTGWATATATACATAGTATTGTATGTTAATACCCCCAAGTAGTAACTTTAAAGTGAAGCTGGAATCAATCCAGGCAGAGGAGCGTTGCTGACTATAAGAGCCTGTTCTCCTTTATGAAAGAGYTTTTTTGGAACTAGATGCTATTTTCTTTTGCAAATAGTTTTGTTGCTTTTTCCAAGAGTAATTTAGGCTGTGCTAAGACAATGGACTGACGTGTAACAAATTTGTGTGTGTCAGCAAGCTCCTACAGGCCTGTCACGCTTCAATTCCACAGATGTAACATTTGATAAGTATTTGCCAAATTTACTRTCTGTCCATCACCTGTAGCTGAGCTGTTCAGTGCTTGAAATACAAGTGGCTTGGTGGAAAATGAGGAGCAGCTTTTTCCAGACATGTGAATAACTTYTAATAAGTCACCAACGAAATCATAACTGTGATAGGAAGGTGGGTTTATCTGTCAAAGKGGTATAAAAGGCATTCTCTAGGTTGTGGGTTTAAGCCAAGGGAATTTGTGCCAATTCCAGTTAAAGGAGTGCATTTATAGTGAGATCTTGTGACTGTTATCCACCTCTGTGCAGGAATTATCTGCCTGCATCTTTACCCACTCTCACTCCCACTCTCCTTAATCTATACTGAGAGAAAATCAGATTGCTGTGCTGAAGAACAACACCACGGGCACACCCCTTCAACTGCACTGGGCTGGCACAGGGCTGCTGCCTTTGCAGCAAGGGGAGCAGCATCTCGCACACGGAGCATCGCCACAGCAGCGCCCGCCGAGTGYGGCACCGCACAGCCCCAGCTCTGCTAGAGAGCTCTGCTTTTCAGTAGTCCCTTCTTATTTTTCATTACTTTCTTGGGTTCTTTTTAGAGAAAGAAAACAGGCAGGATTAGCATTGCAGCTTAGTTTCAAGGTGAAAATTAATGCAGCTTGGGRAAAGGCAAACATGTTTTGTACATTTAGAGGTTTTGTAGACGTAGAGGTACTTTTTTTACATGGAAAAATACTGGTTTAGACTGCTGCTTGAATGCTCTCTTTCAAGGTCAGTGTAAGATTTATAAAAACCAGTAAATATTTCTAATTGGCTCAGCTGTAAAGAACATCAGACATTTGAGAAAAAACATGTACTTCTATCACTTTCTGAGAAAAGTACTGRTATAAAATGACTGCTGATAGTGCCTGAGACCATGTTTTCCAAAAAAGATAGAGCAGGAGGAAAGATCCAACAGCTTTTTCCTTTTTAAGGTGGCTTATTTCTAATTAGTAATCTTAAGTSAACCTAAACACCATCTTGCAAATATTTCTCTCATGCCTGCTGCTCTGTATAAGGATGGGATGTAAATTCAGATAGTGTCTGCCAGTGTTACAGCCCTGGGCTAAATTTGTGATGCAGCCTGTCACTGAATTAATTAAATTCATCTGTGTGGCTTGACTCTGGCCATTCACAGGGGGTGCAGTTTGACAGGTGCAAGAGGCAGTGTTGCTGTTTGGTAGGCAGGCTGGAGGTTAACACAGATGATGCATGTGAAGGGGCATTAAGAGCTCTCAAATATAACCACAGGATGATTTTGATCAACTTTGATTACATTGATGGTTTGTCTGTCTTCAGCTTGGGCAACACACAAAAAAACCCTGAGCTTCCACGARTGCCAGCTCCCTTTCTCATGAAGGGAAAATAAAGGGTGCTGATGGATAGTTTCAGTTACCAGTGAGGGAACCTTCCTATTTTTTCTGTGTGGAGGCACACAGGGACCAGACTGCAGTGCCATCACCCCTGTTAGCTATACATGAATTAACATACACGAGCCGTAAGGTCAGCAAAGATCAAGTACACAGGATTTAGGGCAAGTAAAAATGTTTTATATTTCACAGATTTCGTAAACTGCTCTAGTTTAGAACATTCTGTTTGAGTCAGCTGCAGTCTGCAAGTTAGTTATCTATATACAAAATAAATGCACAGTACGTGCAAAATTTAACATTTTCCTGCATGTTGCAGTCTTAATAATTAGGTCAAATAGCTTATGAATAAATAAAATAAGATTAAATTCAAGAGCATTCCTTCACTTATTTGTATAGCCTGATGTAGCAGATAGGTAAGTAGCGTAACATTCCATACTGCTGCAGAGTTCGTAGCAAAACCGAAAAATCCCTTAATGTGCATCATTGCAGTACTGGAATACAATCAAGGTGAAATGCATCATGCATAGAAAATGAGCTCAGGTATTTGTCCTCCTTGTACTCCGGTTCCATTAGTACTGTCCGAGGAGCACTGGAACTGGAACGTCACTTTCCCGCACTGCACTTCAGTCATTCCCTCTTGTCCAAAGTAACTCAGTTCGTTACCATCAAGAATAGCACTTACATTGTAAAACGTGTCTTGCTCAACCTGCACGGGGTGTTCAAACCACACCGAGAAGGTGTTACTGGAGCCGTCGGAGGTAAACTTTGTCAGATTTTGAGCAAGGACAACGCCTAAGCGCTTCAGTTCGATTTTGACGCTGTATTCAGCTTTGCCACAGCTCGAGCCATACARCCCCAGTCCCGCTATAAATATCCGTTTGTCTACGGCAAACTGAATACTGTCACATCGCCCCCGGTACCTCCACTGATTGCTGCGATACGCAGATGACTGGAACCGATGGCAGCGCTGAGGCACGAGTCCTTTTCTTTTTGTCAGCGGGAACTCTAATTTGGGTTTATTTGCGGCTGTGTACCATAGGAATATGTTGTGAGTCTCCTCAAGGGTGAGGATGTCGGACTGGGCAGCTCCGTTGGCGAACTCTTCCAAAGTCATGGTTGGAATCCGCACCAAGTACAAAGCTTTCCCTAATACATTCCTCTTGTTGCGTGGCGTAACCGGCAGCCCTTGTCTTTTGCATTCAGCCTCTGCCCAGTTCAGAACAGCCTCGAAAACTACCACTTCCTTGGTGTTGAGTGCTTCCCGGGTTACAATGATCTCTAGTGTTTGTTGATCTATCTCACAGAAGCCCTCTGAYTTCAGTGCCATTTCTGCCTGAGCATCAATCACTTCCCAGCAGCGCTGCGTCAGCTCTGGCTCCTCRAAGAGCCTGCTCTGAGACAGCAGGACACAAGCGTTCTTAGCTTCTAAGCTGGTCTCCAAAAAATTGACGCAAGCCTTTGCTAGGGCCGGCACGATGTACTTCTTGGCAGCATAGAGTGTAGCCAGAACTGTGTCAGCTTCCAGGTCTATTTCATCACTGTACATGTATCTAGACAGGGGAAAAAAAAATTAGTTTCTCAGGGAAAAAAAAAAGCAGGCCACAAAAATAATCTATAGTCGTCTTTGCTGGCAGTGAATCTGACATTCAGTATTTGTCAGCACATTAAGTAAACAGCAATAAGTGCATATTGCACAATGCCAATTAGGAGATGTATATTTTATAAGCTACTTTGATTCTGTCCATGTAATTAGCAGACTTGTAGTGGYCACTTACTTTAATAGGATTAGAAAGGCTGCAGGTTCCACATCTGGTATATGGATTTCAGATTTGACCTCTGCGAGATCGCCATAAAACATAGCATAGAAGACTGAGCTACCAACTGCCAAAACATACTGGAAAATAAAGAGAGAGAAGCCTCAGTAACATGGATCAGGAACAGCTGAGCATGCTGGCTTTCCTAAAAGCTACATTTAGGGAAAGTTACAAGCTGCAGTGGGGGCAGAACTGCCTTTAGACTGTTCCCTTTAATTGCAGCGTATGTGAATTACTTCTGGAATTAGACAAGAGCTGTAATTAGGAAAAAAAAAAAAAAGTGGAATCTAGTTACAAAGCAGGGGGAAAAGGCGACCTGCACAGCAGCATCAAAAAGCCAAAAATTATCTGCACAAACCTTATGGGCAGGAACTTTCTTGGATGCCCCTGGCGGGCCCACGATGAAGTGAACGTCAGCCATGAGTTCGTTATTGAACATCAGCGCGTTCCTGCAAGCAGGGGAGGGGGGAGAAGCCCGRTTAGCCGCGGGCTGCCCCTCGCCCGGTGCCCCAGCCTCCCGCCGGCGGCCCCCGGGGCTCCAGCCCATCCCTGCGCTCATGCCTGGCCGGGGCGCAGGTGCACAGGGCGGGCGCCTCTTTCTCTCTCTCTCCCGCCCGCCCGGGGAGGGTCCGGCGGGCCTGGCCCTTACCTCTCCCGCAGCGTGGGATGGAAGGATTGCCAGTTGGCGCTCTCCAAGTTGTTGTTGTTGAGGTTTTGGAGCTGGGGCGGCGGGGGCGGCTGTGCGCTCTGCTGGAGCTGCAGGGCGTTCTTCTTGCTGTTGGCAGCGGTGGCGGCGGCGGCGGCGTTGCTGTTTGCAATGTTAGTGTTGGTGCTGGCAGGGTAAAGTTCTGCAGCCATCTTCTTCTTCAGGGACAGGGGCACTATCTCATAGCATCCTGGCACCTTGCCGTTTGACCTCACACTCTTTTTGGACTTCTTTAAGGTCTCTGGAAGCAGAAGAAAAAAAGTCAAACACTTCATGATCCTGCCATTGAGGCAACCAGGGGGCAGTGGCATGAGCAAGAGAACTAACAGATCCCAAATGCGAGTCCCACTATCAGGATATTTTGTACGCTTCTAGATGAAGGGCGGCCTTTGGTTTTTTTTGGAGTGTGTGCCCGCTCTTTGGTTACCGGCCCGACGCACCTTTCCGCGGGGAAAGGGGTGATGCTGTGTCGGATCAGTGCCAGCGCTCACCTTGGCTTTCGGGGGGGTTCCAGCCTCCACGACACTGCCACGACTGCAGCGGGGAGCCCGAGCGGGGCCAGCAGGCAGTTCCTTCCCCGAGAAACGGGGAGA